CAGCTTCCAATAAATGATCTTCAAGCATGCCTTGATACTTCTTTGAATTCATTCTTTGAGTTATAAATGCTAAATCTGTGGTTCCGTTGAATCCAAACGCACCCCACACCATTATTGATCCCCCACCCATTTGGCGTTTTGAAAATATTTGTTTTTCGGTTCTTAAATTGTGCCAATAATACTTCCAACCGTCTGGACCATCTAAGTTGAATTTTTTTTCATCACTGAACAAAACTTCAGTCCAATCTTCGGACCATGTCATGTGTTTTTGTGCCCAATCAAGTCTGTCACTTTTGTGCTTTAATGAAAGTGGTGGCATTACAGCTCTTTTTCTGAATTTTAACATTGGAGATTTATTTAAAACTCTTCACACTGTTGTGCTGCTACAAGGCAAGTCTAATTCTTGTTTTATTTTTCTTACCGATGTTTGTTTTGTGGAGCAAACCTTGATGATTTGTCTACAATCTCGAGGAGTAAGCTTGGGTTTTGGACCTGTCTTGAATTTTGGTACATCCTTGCCACGTCTTTTTGATAAATAATCACCAACAGTTGATTTTGGACGATTTATATATGCTGCAATTTCTCTTATTGACTTGCCTTGTGATTTATAGGCATCAATCTGCCCTTTTTCATAATCAGATAAATTCTTTGTTCTACCCATTTTAGAACGTTGAACAACGTAAAGAATTTGTATTACAATTAGATATGTAAGCTAATTTGCATATTTCAATGCTTGAAACTAAACAATATTCTGTTTAAGTCATAAAATGAGTGCCTGTCCGGATAAACATGTAACAGTTTTTTTGTATAAGATTTTCAAAAATATTAATTTCAGTGACAAAATATTAATGTTTAATTAAAATTCTTATTTTGCAGTATAGAAACATGTAAATCCATATTATTTTTAATAAAACATTTGTCACTTAATGCAGCAAATTTGTGTTTTACTTTAATTTTTTCGTGTCCGTATAAATTTGAAACACACTTTATGTAGGTAAGTTGGCGTAAATTGTGTTGTCTTTCGTTTAGTATGTGAGGATGAAATAATTGTTAAGAATCTAAATTTGGCATGTTAGCTTGAGTATACGGAGGTTTGACGTTCATAAATATTGGAGGTTAAAAGTCAAGGGATAAGAAGATGGAGAGAGGGTCATATATCACATTTCCAGAAAGATCGGACTTCACGAAGATTTTACTCATCGTTACAATTTATAATTTTTAAGAAGCTCGTCTCTAACTTCAATATTAAGCTTTTCGCTTTTTCTGAATAATTAAAGTGGCATCATATTGTAGTGAAACCTGATTGGAACGTTCCAAATCTGAGTTTTTTTCTATAAATATAAATAAATGTAAATATTGATTTGATACTTTTCTTTTCAGATTGCATACTCGACAACGTTACAGATTACCAGATTATTCCATTTCCAATATTTAATGAGAGCCGAAGACTCGCTTTCGCACAGTTTGAAGAGGATTCTGAAGGAAATCTGAACATTTGGCTAAAGGAAAAAGAAAAACCTGTTATACAAAAATATAAGTTACATGAAAACGGAAGTTATGAAATTCTTAAAGAAATTCATTTTCCTGACACGATCACTGATTTTGGAATTGTATACAATGGAAGTTATTACGGTCGACACGATTATGAACACAAAATTGTCAGATACAACTTCCAGACTTGGGAATCGAAAATAGGAGATAAAATTTTTCATATTCCATATGTGGATTACTTGTTTTTTTGCATAGACGAGGACAATATTTGGGTATTTAACTTAATAAACTATCGTGTTTACGTGATTCACGAGGCGCTTCAAATTGATCCAGAGAATTTAAAAGTTTTGTCTAAGCAAGAAGTTGATCCTGGAAATTGTCTGATAAGATTTGCATTTGTTGCTTATGGCAGGGTTTATTGCTTCGAAGATTTGAAAAAGTTAAGGATTTCTTTTCTGTCGGATAAAACCGAAAAGGAAAATCCATACATTACTATTAATATTGATAAAGAAAAAAGTCTTAATGCTGTTAATCAGTTCTACAATTTTAAAGAACAGTATCTTTATGTACTTTACGAATCCTACAAACCCATGAGTTATACACTTCATAGATACAAATTACACTTTAATTGTTCGTCTGAAGAATGAAAAGTTGAATCGAGATGTGTATTATTTTGTTTCGTTATACAATATTGCATATAAAGTCGTTCCAACAGATTGATGTAATGAATAATTTCTATTTTATAATTTCATTTTTAATATACTCTGTATGAAATTTGAATAAATATTTTATCTCTTTCCGTTTGTCTGAATTGAGAGGCTCTGAATGGAGCCAAGTAAATCTTCTTCCCTTAGAACACATATTTATTAACTTGCAGATGAGTCTTTAAATTTCGCTATCGTTACCTTTTGCTCAGGCAACGATAGCGAAATTTAAAATTGTTACATTGTAGCCGATCTTACCCGTTTTTACCGGGTGCAAGAATTAGATCCCCTATTCTGAGGCTAATTAGAGAATGCGTAGATATGTCTAAAAATATGTTAGATTTCCCACAAAAACGCAAAACATTGCATATAAAATAGTACGAGTTATTCTGGGTAATCCTTAAACCTCTCCGTCTTTACCGCATGGGGGATTTCAAAAATTGCTTTTTAGTGTACATTTTTATGACATACCTTGTGTACCAAATTTCAACTTTTAACTTTTAACCGTTTGATCTCTATGCGTAATAATATTATTATTATGTTGGGTTTAGTGAGTTATATTCGGTTGTTACACCGGAGTTACTCGGGAATTACACCGGTTACCGTGTACTATGCCGGACCAGAGTCAAGATATAGTAACAAATAGAAAACAAAACTTAAATAAGTGTGTTAAATAAGTGTTAAATTATTAAAATCTAACAACATCATATAATAAACCAAAAAACTCCGGTCAAAACTTATATAGGAGAAACAAAAAGAAAATTAAGCACAAGAATAAAAGAGCACATACGTGCAATAAAGGGTAATTATGCAAATTCTGCAGTAGCAGAACACTGCAATAGTTATGGGTGCCAAATCAACAAAGATACTATAAAAATTAAGAAAAAAGAATCAAATAATTACAAACGTCAAGTATACGAACATTTAAACATAAAGAAAGAAAGAAATAGAAGAAACAATAATTTGGGTCGTATAATTCACTAATCCTGGAGCACCATACTTGATGATGTTTATAAAAAAAGCATAGTTAACAGTCTCCCTAACATAACACTGTTGAAGGATGAAAAATAGAACCTTGATGCGAGTTTTTTGGTTTATTATATGATGTTGTTAGATTTTAATAATTTACAACCTTTATTTACTATATTTATTTTATTTAATTATATAGTGAAATGTTTAATTATACAACGAGAAAGATACATTTATACTCGGGATTGGAATATGTATTTACAGTAAGTTTTAAAATTGTTTTTTTATGGTTAAGTGAAAAATTTTTTAACTTATACAGTAACTTATTTGTTTTATTGTTGTTACTTTTTAGTGTATGGTAGTAGTACTGCTGATGAGGGGCATGATAGCCCGAAACACGTATAATATGTGTACAGAAATTATTACTACAGGTGATATAATAAAGAAATTTTGTTCTTTTCTGAATTAACTCTCATTGCTGTGCCAATCTTTAAACACCAGTATTAAGTTCTTTTAATAAGTAAAGTCCAAGTAGACAATTAACAATAAGTCAGTCTTAGTTTCTTCGTAATTGATGCTGGTGTGTTTGAAGACACAGCGCAACACGTGTATCAACAGAGGACATCTATTAAATTTAAAATTAAATATACGTTCCCACAATAAGTGCTCAATTGAATTTGTTTTAAAGCATCTTTCACATCTCTAAACATTAGTTTAATATACTGAGCTCGTTCTACACCACCAAAACCGTGCAACAACAAATGCATTTGCACGTACCCTTTAATGCATTCAGCGGTTTCTGGTCGACTGGTGACGAGGATCGTCATTCGAAGAGAAATGTAAAATGAATCTTCTCTAATAAATTTTAATACAGATTTTTTGTTAGTTGTCTCGTCAAATCCATTCAGAATAACCAACAGATTTAATTATTTCGCTTCCAAAATTTCTTTTGCTTCTTTACGCGATTCCGGAAATAATTTATCAAGAACAGCATCTTTTACATTCGTCGTACCAAGATCGGATAAATTTATGATCACGACCAAATCGAAATGTTTCACAAGATCCTTTGAATTTCCATCGCATGACCAATCGTACGCGATTTTCTTGCAAAGAGTGGATTTTCCGTATCCCGGATTTCCAGAAACCAAAATACTTTGATATCTGTTATGCTTATCGGAAAGTAAGTTCTGTAACTTTACCTTTTTTGTGACATTTCCATCAAACAGGGGTGCTTTTCCCAGCGGAAAATCGAAATGATAATTTTAAATCTTAATATGTTAAATCTTAGTTAAAATCTAAATATGTAGGCCTAATATAAGTGAATGGTATTAACAAATGTAATAGTATTAAATTTGTTAACAAATATAATACGTAAATAATAACCGAATAAAAGTAAAACTATATCAAAGTAGATAAGTTAAATGATGTAAATTAAAAATTAATACAAGATGTACTGTACATGTAGGGAAAGGTGGTGAAAGATGGGGCCTTGGGGTAAGACGAAGACGTCTGTTTATTCGTGGTTAACGAGCTTTCATCTAGCTCTTATTTGGGGAACTAAATGTCAACCTCAAAAGGGATGAGGCGACGAGAGAACGTCCGAATCGCTCTCTTTGTTTGGAAGTAAGACAGTTTTCCACGTTTCGGCATTACTTCATCTAATTTTATGCCGCTACAAAGTTTCTACAAAATAAGTATTATTGTGAACTTTTAAATTACCTCTTAGACGAAGATATGATGGTATTCGAAGTAACCGTTAAGACTGAAATTGTTTATTTTAGAAATAAAGTCTACTCGTGTTTGTAGTCAGTACGAAAAGTGCACATTGGGGCAACACAGGGTAACCCATCTTGCCCAAGGTTGGCCACGAATTCTGCCGCTGGCTAGAAGCACCGCAATATAGGGCAGCGAACTAGTTTTGAATTCGTTGTCATTGATAATTCTATATCATTTTTTCGAATATATAAAATAATAAGTTTATAAATGATCTTTTTATAGAAAATGAAATATTCCACTTGTAAATCATATCTAACTGTAATAAATTTATACAGTATATACTGTATTACTTTATTATTTATGTTTTTATGTTTTATTTTATTTATAAAAATATTTTTTTAATTTAAATACTATCTTAACAAGAATTCTCTATTAATCAACGAACTTTTTAAACTACTGTCATAGAACATTACACAATTTAAAACCTCGTTAAGTTTTAAAAAATGTTGATGTTCTATGACAGTAAGGTAAAAACGTCAAGTATTCTTTCGGCAAATGCTGCTTGCTGACATGTAGTAAAATAGTAATAAATAATAATAATAAACCGTATTAGCAGAATAAAGCTTAGTCTGTTATTATTTTTTATGAAAAGTATAAGATGGCTGTTTTATGCGTTTAGTAATTTTATACATTAGACGAATAATCTTGAAAATAACCTCATCTCAATGTAATTTTAACTTATAATTTCAAAAACAGTTTTAACTGCACATACCTTTTAACGACAAGGATAAAATTGACTGAATACTTGAATAAATCAAATAGTTCAGAAAATTCGTGAAATTACAGTCGCTATATTATATTACTGTATATATTTTCTAGTTTTAAACAAGAGAAGGTGTCTACGGACTTTTACTTACATTTACCATGTTTTATTTAATAGATATTATAGTTGCAAGTACAGTTAAATGATTTTGCAATTTCCGCTATGTCTAATACATTATTATTCCTGGAACGTTGCTCGTTTTATATACAGTCCAATGTGGCATTTTTGTTTATTAGTCATACATTTAATTCTGAAAACATGCAAACATTATCCGATTGCAAACAATAGCGTAAACAGTTGCCAACAGAATACAATAATAACAACTTTATTTTTTCTTATAACATTATGTGAAAAAATAAATATAAAATTAAAAATTTGAAGAACGAGTAACTTTCTCGGTTGCCAGGAAATTTTATTTAAAGTGACTTTTCATTTTTAAATAAATATTATTTAACTGTACTAACAGTAAATAATTTGTGTGACTCGCCATCTGTTTTGAGATTTCACCATAAAACTTTTTATATAATTAATTATGATAAAATAGCAATTTTAATTTTTAGGATAGAAACAGGTTACATAAGTACTTGTAAATATAATAACGAGTAAAAACTTCTGATACTTTTAAGGTGTGAGATGAAATCCGAGAGCAGATATGAAAATTGTAAGGGTAAGAGGTCCCAATCATTTATATACAAACTTCTAATGCAAACTGGAAGTCACGCTGTTTCAATTGGAACAATTTCCCTCAAAGGTGTTAGATAGATGACCGGCACGACTCTATTGTAGGAAAAGTATGATTTATAGAGGCAAGCCACTACTAATTTAAGTTAAAGAGCATATATTTTACATAAAAATTAATTAAAAACATAATTAAAAATTGCAGCCTAACATTGTGACGATGTCACAATAAATAATTGTTCGTTGGTATAAATTTTACGACAATGAAAATATAAAGTTAAATCGTACAATTGTGGTTATAAATTGATGTGATGAACCCCTAACAGTAAACAATGATAGGTTGAAAAGTTTTAAAAATTAAACACATTTTTATTATTACTTTATCGACTGTTATGTATATACAACAATGGAAAGTATTGCAATCGTGTGAAATGTGACGTTCTACGTTTTAAGTAAATCTCTAAAATTAAGCTTTCAGCTATTTCATAATAATTAATTAAATAAAAAACTTTAAAAGTGAAATATTATAACAGATAGCGTCACACACAATTCGAATTATTTTGCTGAGAAAGATATGCAATTCATTGCTGGAATTTTGTATTTTATAATTATAAATAACAGAAACAGTTTGTGAACTTTAATGTGAATGTCGCAATTAGGGCTGAAATTCTTGGACAATATCGATATAATTTCGGCATTTGTTTTACTTTGTATTGCAATTTGTATGATATTTAGACACGTAAAAATGTATACATTTTAATAAAATGAATTTTTGTATAATTGGACATTCTCATACCTAGAATAAGAGCCCGTAAAACATGCCATTAAACTCATTTACAACGAAAAGAA